TAGAATATTCCACGTCAATTACTTGCAGCGACAAAGGCTGAAGATGACCTTTATCGACTTGAGCAATCTTCATAGATCATGAGATTAAGATTGGTAGGTTTCGTCATAGCAAAATGCGGCTATGCCTTGGCCATTTGTACAATTGAGATTTGATTTCTCAAATAGTTGGAGGGAGTGGCATGCTATGGAGATGTGGCCCCTCGAAAATTCAAGGATGTGCTGGTGGCGTACCTTTGGTGGATTCACAATGTTCCTCGCACATAAGACAAATCATTATCATTAGGCTCAATATTCATTTTTTTTTTGTTTTCCAAACACAGAGAATAACAGCCTGCGAGTGGCAATACATTTCATGCCTTAGAAAGAAAGACAATATATATTTTCTTTCTACCAATTGAAATATTGAATATTCCTCAAAGTGAAAATTATTATTTTCTCGCCTCCCTTCCCCCCTCTTTTTTCAAAAAAACACAAGGAGTAGTTATGTATAATTTTTTTTTTGGGCCTATGAATTTGAGGTGTGGTCAAGACCCAAGACATGCACACATGAATGCTTAACCTTTGGTCATAACTTTGGTGGGTCCATTCATATACTTTGTTCATATCACCTGAATGCTTAACTTGTGGTCCTTGAGCAACAACTCTTGCTCTTATGGCCTATCATTTTGTGTTGGTCACTTACTATAGCCGTGAGTGACTATGTTTTGTCATTACCATGGTGAAAGGGATTAAACTAGGGAGACATCCATTTCCTAATAACATCTCTTGACAAGTGTGTTCAAGTGACAAGATACTTGGTGCCGCGGTAGACATTCTCAACTTTTGGAGATGGTCATGGGGGGTATGTCCTTTAGAAAAAAAGTGCTAGACTCACGACCAGGCTTTATGCCTCATGCCTCAAGAGATATGAGATATTGTGGAATGTGAGATGGCTACCTAAACAAGCTAAATTTGTGCTACATAAAATCAGAGTGGCTCTTGGTTTTCATCGGAGTATCTCACGAGATCGACATGTCAAAACCATTGTCAAAATAAATAAAAGGCTCATTAATACCTGATGACTTTTTCTATATTTAGGTCACATAATAGATGGGACAATCTCGATATTTAGTTAGCTTGAGCATAACTCTCGTGTGCCTCACCAAGGGAGTGACAAAGGTTCCCCAAATAAACCCCGTGGAACACATTTCTGTGGTGACAGTGCTTCGAATTTCGAGTAGCTGAGCACTCCAAATGAAGTAAACCGAGCTAAGGCTATGGAGACAATTCAGGTCCAGCAAGCAATGAGGTACTTGGTGTCGCGACTGGGTCGTGGGCGTGGTAGACCGTGGAGGTGGTCAGTCTTCGTGGTCATAAAAACTTTATGATTGCCAACTTCTATGGTTAATCAAATGAGTGGAGCCCACTTACAAATATTTTATGCATTTCACCTGTACACATATTCCTTATCAAGGGGCCAACTATGAATTGAATATTAAAGAATAAAGTATTTCTCTTTTGGCTCTTTCATGTTTGATAATTATTAGTTGAATGGTAAAGCTACCTACTCGGGCTATTGGCCGAACAAACGGCCACCCAAACAAAGCTAAATGTTTCTTGGTTATGGTTTCCCATGAAAATTTTTTTGAGCCAAAGAGGGTTCCACGACTATTGTACTGACTTATGAGAACAAAATGTGAAGCATTTGAGATGCACATAGATATTCATTTGAGCAAGGAAAAAAAAGATATGTCAGAGAACAAACTTTCCTTGTTGCATGGATAGCTTGGGGACAAATTTTCCTTTTCATGTGGATAACTTGGATCGAGGTAACTATGCTCAGCTCTTCGTGGTGAGTTCTTCGACATTGTTGGGTCATTTTAGCTCTCATATCAAGGAAAGAAGAAGACTAAAGCCGCAAGAAGGCTCCTTCTACCATTCCCTCATTTGCCATTTTGGGGAAATAACAAATTCTCGCCTCATTTTCGACAAGTAGTGTGGTGAAATGAATAAGTGTCCAACTCAAAATGGCATAGTGCTACTAGACAGCAAAAATACCATTTGGAGTGTCACCTCCGTAGTAGAGTCGCTAAAAAAATATAGGTGGGGGGATTAAAAGAGTTTGGCGCACGTGCCTATACCAAGGGTAATCAAAGATGGTGAGTAGGATAAGAGGATGAGATGGAAGGAATTCGAGCAGTCTATTAACGAAGGGACGAACCAGTTGGGTAGAGGGTAAGTGAAAATTTCTCTCACAAATCAGAAAATCATCCTCCGCAGTGGGTAAGTAATGTGGGCATTTATAGCACAGTGCTCGGGCAGGTCAGGATGCCCAAAGGGCTGCCCGCCGTGACCCTCTATCACTAGTGCAAACCCACAACCGCCTCGACCGCGACGATACAAGTGGCTGTTAACGCGAGCCATGCGTCCCAACATTAACTAGGCAGATGTGATGTTTCCTAAAATACAACTTGGACGTGGTCCTGAAAAAGGTGCAACAACCAAGGCAAGAGTGGGTTCCCAAGGTTCATGACTGATCACCATGGGACTATGACCTCGAGAGGGCCATATCCACGATGCCCCCAGTGCGCTCCTACCCGAGGTCCTTTTTTCCCTCTCTAGACCCTTTCTCGAGTCCTTTGTCAAGGTGCCCAATAGAGAAAACTCACATAGTTTTTATCCTTTAGCCACCAATCCACATGTCGCATCATCCTATATGTTGACCCAGACCAATAACACCAGTTACCTTAGGAGTCCCTCCGAATCCCAACCAAGCGCTTCTCAATGGGTAGTGAGCCATACATTGGAATGCTTGCTCCAACAGACTAAATCTTCAAGACTTTGTCCTAGCCCGAGGTTGACAATTGTGCTTGTCCATCCCTATTGCTCAGTTCTCCCATGAGGAAGACCATACTTCCATGTCTTTAGGTGGGGACATCTCATTTTAGTCTAGTGGGCCAGTCGAGTAATGGTGTCCAATAGATTGAGGATACCACTCTCGCAGTGAGCGAAACGAGTTTCGCCAAGGTTGCCCCATACTTCTGCGATTTCACTTTTGTCCACACTTGGTGAAAGGTTTATTTTGCCACTTCTAATGTGGTGGAGATGTATTTCACTCTGATGCGATATTTGTGCTTAAGGGCGTCACGCCCCGGGGCGTCGCACCTTAGGTGTTGTGCATGAGTGTCGTGTCTTGGGCGTCGCGCATGACATTATTATCTACACCAATCTAGTTGACGCTGTCAGGCGCCATTTTCATATCATTTGATAATTGTTGCCACTTGTCCTGTTATGGTGAAGACATGTGTCTTGAAGTTTTCAAGTACTACAATAGACATGAAAGACTCTCAAATTAGCACCTAAACCTCCAAGCATGGCTCAAGAGGAATATGAAAGAGAGAAACAAGCTTAAGTGGAATAATATGGATTGACCCTTGCTTTTCATCTGTATCTTATGGAGCATATGGAAAGTAAGGAATAAAGAAAGTATTGATCAAATCATAACCCCCATTGGAGTAATGAAAAATAATTCATGGGACTTTGCTCTAGAAATCAATAATGTGTTCCATAACATGGAGAATCTAAGGAATATCACACCACCTAAATTGATTGGTTAGCCTTTTCCCCTTGCAAGTTGGCTAAAGACAAACACTAATGATTGCTCCAAAGGCAATCTAGGATCAATAGGAATAAGAGGACTTATAAGGAATGACCAAGGCATCTAGGTAATGGNAAATTAGCACCTAAACCTCCAAGAATGGCTCAAGAGGAATATGAAAGAGAGAAACAAGCTTAAGTGGAATAATATGGATTGACCCTTGCTCTTCATCTGTATCTTATGGAGCATATGGAAAGTAAGGAATAAAGAAAGTATTGATCAAATCATAACCCCCATTGGAGTAATGAAAAATAATTCATGGGACTTTGCTCTAGAAATCAATAATGTGTTCCATAACATGGAGAATCTAAGGAATATCACACCACCTAAATTGATTGGTTAGCCTTTTCCCCTTGCAAGTTGGCTAAAGACAAACACTAATGGTTGCTCCAAAGGCAATCCAGGATCAATAGGAATAAGAGGACTTATAAGGAATGACCAAGGCATCTAGGTAATGGGATTCTATGGCAAACTGAACTGATCTACAAGAATCAAGGTTGAACTTTAGGCACTCTTTAAGGGGCCAGAGTTGATCTAAAAATTAAGACTGAACAAAGTTCTATTTGAAACACACTCATTCGAAGCTTACAATCTTTTGAACCAAGAGATAAGGGTGAATTTATCCCACTGGTCCAGCGCTGTATTTGTTTTTTTGGAAGATAACAATAGCATAATGTGTTATGTTCGTAGAGAGGGAAACCAATGCACAGATGTTCTTGCCAATATTGGAGAAAGGCAGATGGAGAGACTCGTCAAATTAGACTCTCCATCGATAGAAATTTTTTCCTTACTTGAAGTTGATCTTGTTGGGATTAGTTTTGTTAGGAATCCTTAGTGGTTTTTGTTGTTATTTTTTCTCAATCAAAAAAAAAAAAAAAAAAAAACTCATACCCGCCTAAAAGTTTAAATTTATAAATAATAAGCTCATACGCAATATATTATGACATTGTTACTTATTTTTCTTTCCACTAGAGATTTTCATGGATACAATCCTCAAGAAAATTCAACTAAGAGGTTGAAATTAAACTCGAACGAGTATTTTTACAATTTAAATGGGGCCGAAATAATGACTTATCCTATGCAATCTATCCCAATTGCATTCCTAATAATTGTAGCCATCAAAAGGAGGGCAAAAAGGTAACACCGTCAAAAGTGCTTAGGTGGCAGTGTAAGTGGAATGGCCCACACTAAACCTAGACGTGTAGCATATCTTGTACGTTAATCAAGTACAGCTATTTCGACCTGATCGCGCACACACAATGTGGTGCAACACCATAGGTCATCCTAGAGTGGGCCCCAATCCATTAGATATAAATATCCAAACCCATCAATTTTTCATAACCCAACCCCAATCCACTTTCCAGACTCCTTCTCGTGCCTTCCATCGTTCGAATCGTACGACTATTTTACGCTCTCTGTCTCTCTCTCTCTCTCCCTCTCTCACACACACACACACACACACACACAAATCTCTGCCGCGCGTCAAAATTTCAGTTTCGTTCGTTGCCGCTCTATGCGTTCATGTTCTTGCAACAGAAGAAACAATAAGAACCCTAACCCTTCTTGAATTTCCTTTTCGTTCATAAATAAATCTTTTCGTCTTCTTTTTGTAAATTCAATCACAGATCTGTGAATCTTTGGAGTTCTTCCTGAAGTCTGTTGTATTCATACTCAGATCTTCCAGCTCTTTTTACGTATCCCTTCAGATTCAGAATTGGTTTCAATTCGATTTCTGGAGTTTTGAATTGAAGAGGTAGGTTGAATCGATTCTGTTCCATCTTTGATTTCTAAATCAAATTTTCAATCATATAACGGTTTGGCGGTTGTTAATATGCGTGTAGTTTTTTCCCAAGTTGTTTGTGAGTCGGTTTTGTTGACAATTTAGGGTTTTTTGGTATTACCGAGCAAAGTGTACTCTCTTTCTTAAATGTACAAATCCAATTAATGTACACTATGTGACATAATGTACAGTTGTTATCAGATGCAATCTTGAGCTGGAATTTGATGAGTGTGGGGGTGAATTAATCACTTAAGAGGGGTTTCTGTCTTACTTTGTTTTTTTCCCGCTTTGAATGTTTTCCTATGGTGTAGAATTGTTTACATTTATCAATTTTGAGTTGCTAGAAGTGGCTTTTTTGGATGGGCCAAGGGGAAGCTGAAGTTTGTTTGCCTGTGTTGGATGATGTAAAGATGGAAATTGAGAACCCATTGAGGATCGAATCAAAACGGGACTATCAGTGCGTAGTAGACGGCTCTGAAACAGAACCTTGCAGTAAGAAGCAGGCAAAAGAATTGTTAGGTTATACAGAACTCCTTTGTGCTAAGAAGCAGGCAAAGGTTTTTAGAGACACTGAACTGGAGTCACATGCTAAGGAGGTGAAAGAAGCTTTGTATGATGTTGATATTGAATTGTGTTCCCAGAACGAGGCAAAGGAAACTTCTAACGAGGATATTTGCTCAGAGGTTACTAATCCAAATTTGTCCCCCAGGGAAAATACTTCGAGCTTTCAGACAATTGGTAGTGAGCATGTTGAATTGATGAGTAATATCCAAAGTGGCTGTGTTGATGTTACATCTGATTCTTCAGGAAACTCCACAACGGAAGAGGGCTTGAGGGAAGAAGAGCTTAACAGAAATGATACACAGGGTGAGGTTACCACGTCCCATGTTGTACTCGAAATTCCAAAGCATGTTAGCACCACTGGTGTTAGGAAAATTACATTCAAGTTCAGCAAACGGAAGGAAGACTATTGTAATCAGTTATCCACTCCATCTACTCAGCTTCAGAGTAATGGTTTTCATGATGGCTGCCATGAGGACCCTTGGTGGACTCCTTTAGCAGGGAACGGTGATGCAAATAGGTACGGGAAGGGGTTCTATGAAACCAGTCGCCCTTTTTTGTGCACTTCTAATTTGGAACTAAAAATGTCTAAGAAGGTTAGTCCAGACAGCTGCCCAACTAATGTTAAAAAGCTTTTATCTACTGGAATTCTAGAAGGAGCTCGAGTGAAATATATCTCTACCTCTGGGAATGTAAGTTGTAGATTTCTATATCTTTTGTATTCTTTTAATTAAAATATTATTTAGGCTTACAAGTGACGTTCAATAATTATCAGAGAGTGCTTCCTGGAATCATAAAAGATTCTGGATATTTGTGTGGCTGTTCAGCATGCAATTTTTCCAAAGTAAGTTGCGAATTCGCTGTTAAATTTGTATGCTTTATTTGTTTGTTTGTGCAACTCACTATATCTAATCAATGATTTTATGTTGTAAGCAGGTTCTCAGTGCCTACGAGTTTGAGCTGCATGCTGGTGGTTGCAAAACTAGACACCCAAATAATCACATATTTTTGGAGAATGGGAAGCCCATTTATAATATTATCCAAGAATTAAAGACTGCACCACTTAGCGTACTAGATGAAGTGATAAAGAATGTGGCTGGTTCATCTGTTAATGAAGAGGCGCTACAGGTTTGGAAAGGTGATGCTGATGCCCAGATCATAATTTANCGGGCACACACAATGTGGTGCAACACCATAGGTCATCCTAGAGTGGGCCCCAATCCAATAGATATAAATATCCAAACCCATCAATTTCTCATAACCCAACCCCAATCCACTTTCCAGACTCCTTCTCGTGCCTTCCATCGTTCGAATCGTACGACTATTTTACGCTCTCTCTCTCTCTCTCTCTCTCTCTCTCTCACACACACACACACACACAAATCTCTGCCGCGCGTCAAAATTTCAGTTTCGTTCGTTGCCGCTCTATGCGTTCATGTTCTTGCAACAGAAGAAACAATAAGAACCCTAACCCTTCTTGAATTTCCTTTTCGTTCATAAATAAATCTTTTCGTCTTCTTTTTGTAAATTCAATCACAGATCTGTGAATCTTTGGAGTTCTTCCTGAAGTCTGTTGTATTCATACTCAGATCTTCCAGCTCTTTTTACGTATCCCTTCAGATTCAGAATTGGTTTCAATTCGATTTCTGGAGTTTTGAATTGAAGAGGTAGGTTGAATCGATTCTGTTCCATCTTTGATTTCTAAATCAAATTTTCAATCATATAACGTTTGGCGGTTGTTAATATGCGTGTAGTTTTTTCCCAAGTTGTTTGTGAGTCGGTTTTGTTGACAATTTAGGGTTTTTTGGTATTACCGAGCAAAGTGTACTCTCTTTCTTAAATGTACAAATCCAATTAATGTACACTATGTGACATAATTTACAGTTGTTATCAGATGCAATCTTGAGCTGGAATTTGATGAGTGTGGGGGTGAATTAATCACTTAAGAGGGGTTTCTGTCTTACTTTGTTTTTTTCCCGCTTTGAATGTTTCCTATGGTGTAGAATTGTTTACATTTATCAATTTTGAGTTGCTAGAAGTGGCTTTTTTGGATGGGCCAAGGGGAAGCTGAAGTTTGTTTGCCTGTGTTGGATGATGTAAAGATGGAAATTGAGAACCCATTGAGGATCGAATCAAAACGGGACTATCAGTGCGTAGTAGACGGCTCTGAAACAGAACCTTGCAGTAAGAAGCAGGCAAAAGAATTGTTAGGTTATACAGAACTCCTTTGTGCTAAGAAGCAGGCAAAGGTTTTTAGAGACACTGAACTGGAGTCACATGCTAAGGAGGTGAAAGAAGCTTTGTATGATGTTGATATTGAATTGTGTTCCCAGAACGAGGCAAAGGAAACTTCTAACGAGGATATTTGCTCAGAGGTTACTAATCCAAATTTGTCCCCCAGGGAAAATACTTCGAGCTTTCAGACAATTGGTAGTGAGCATGTTGAATTGATGAGTAATATCCAAAGTGGCTGTGTTGATGTTACATCTGATTCTTCAGGAAACTCCACAACGGAAGAGGGCTTGAGGGAAGAAGAGCTTAACAGAAATGATACACAGGGTGAGGTTACCACGTCCCATGTTGTACTCGAAATTCCAAAGCATGTTAGCACCACTGGTGTTAGGAAAATTACATTCAAGTTCAGCAAACGGAAGGAAGACTATTGTAATCAGTTATCCACTCCATCTACTCAGCTTCAGAGTAATGGTTTTCATGATGGCTGCCATGAGGACCCTTGGTGGACTCCTTTAGCAGGGAACGGTGATGCAAATAGGTACGGGAAGGGGTTCTATGAAACCAGTCGCCCTTTTTTGTGCACTTCTAATTTGGAACTAAAAATGTCTAAGAAGGTTAGTCCAGACAGCTGCCCAACTAATGTTAAAAAGCTTTTATCTACTGGAATTCTAGAAGGAGCTCGAGTGAAATATATCTCTACCTCTGGGAATGTAAGTTGTAGATTTCTATATCTTTTGTATTCTTTTAATTAAAATATTATTTAGGCTTACAAGTGACGTTCAATAATTATCAGAGAGTGCTTCCTGGAATCATAAAAGATTCTGGATATTTGTGTGGCTGTTCAGCATGCAATTTTTCCAAAGTAAGTTGCGAATTCGCTGTTAAATTTGTATGCTTTATTTGTTTGTTTGTGCAACTCACTATATCTAATCAATGATTTTATGTTGTAAGCAGGTTCTCAGTGCCTACGAGTTTGAGCTGCATGCTGGTGGTTGCAAAACTAGACACCCAAATAATCACATATTTTTGGAGAATGGGAAGCCCATTTATAATATTATCCAAGAATTAAAGACTGCACCACTTAGCGTACTAGATGAAGTGATAAAGAATGTGGCTGGTTCATCTGTTAATGAAGAGGCGCTACAGGTTTGGAAAGGTGATGCTGATGCCCAGATCATAATTTAATTTGTATTTTTTCTTTAAGATCTTTAAAAGGGGTGTGATGGAAGAGGTGCTTTTTGCACATGGTGATATTTGCTTGGATCACAAGTATAAAGCACGACATTCTACTTGTTCTATACAAACATTTCCATCAACACAAATGTATTTTATTAAGCCTTTTCTTCACCTTTTTTTTTTTTGTTTTGAGATTTTGTTTGGGGGAGTGGTTAATAAGCATACATCAAGTTTCAGTTTCCCTGTTGCCTAGATTTTAATGTTCACTTGTGCCTGGCAGGAACTTTCCAACGAAGTATTGAGTTGTGTAAAGCCGATAAAAACTATCACACCAAACTTGCAGGGCTGTATCATTCTACTACCAGGTACGAAACTTTATTAGTTTTGTATTTTGCCTTCTTTTTTTTACCGCATTTTATCTTTCCTCCAGGAAGATGATATTTTTTTCAAATAAATGTTTGTGAATTGTGGAGTTGATATCATCACTTGTCTGACTACATGCAGATGAATCATATAGCAGTTCGTGCTTGTTTGCTAATTTTCCTTGTTGGTAGTTTGCAAGTAATTGCCATCCTGTCAAACTAGCTTATTTGCTCTGTCAAATGTATATAGTATAACCCCTTGCAAAAATCTATGTGTATCAGTTTGCCTGGCTTTTTTGGACATTTTGTTGCATTTTGCACGTGGATGTGGTGATATTCTTTCAGAATTTTGTTTTAATAGGAACTTCTATGGGCCAAATTGTTGGATGCTTGGATGCAATGAAACCAAAGAAAGCCATTGATGCATGTTGAACCATTTATACATGATGATCTGTTTACATCTATGATTCTAGAAAAAATGTGTAAATTCCAAATTGTCAATAGAAAGGCCATCATATGGAATATAAAGTCAGAAATTATGTTTATCACATGCATGCCCATGGAGTCTTCTTTGGGAAACTGTATGCCAAATTGCATCTTTTTATGCTCTTTCGAAAAGGCAGCAAGAGAATTTGCCTTTTTTTCTTCTTCCTTGACTTGTGGTTTATCAATCATTTGTTATGTGATTCCTTCAATCAAACAGTTCCCAACAATGATATGTTCTCATCTACATCTTTTAATCTTATTGTGAGTTAGGGTATCCTTTGTGATGATAATACTGACACTTTAAGATTTGATTTCTTAGAATAAACCCAAAAACTAAAACCTCTAAATTAGATGCACCAGATCCAATTTTTTAGCTTCGTTTTAGAAGCTTCTGTCATAATGCATTCATGTAGACATATACACCCACACACGTTGATCTTTTCTAATTCAGTCTTTCCCTTCAAGCTAGAACGAAAACATGATGGAATTGTGGCTATCTTTTCACTTATCGTTCCTCCTGGTGTTTAGTGTAAATGCCATCCTTTTTGAGAGTTTGGTTGACAGAAAATTCAAATTGTGGGAGGAATAGTTTATATACGCGTGCTTGTAGACTTAATGCCTGGGAGATCCACCTGGTATGTTGTACATGTGTTCCTATTAAGATCAATGACCGCCAAATTTACTGCACTGAAATTTGCAGCTTCCCCAATCAAGTGTGCGAAGAAGGCTGCAGTCCTACTTCGTGTTCCAATGTGCTGCAAATCTGTATGAAGGATTCAGAGGAAGAGCGGAAACAGATTAAAAAGTTCGTCCTCTGTTCTCTCTCAATTTATCTTTCTTACTTTTGATACTTATTTTATTCTGGAGCACTTTAGATGATTCATAGATGTATCTGAGTATGGAACGGGATGCTTCTGATCTTTTGTTCTTCTTGTTCTGATAAAAGTAGTTCTTTATTATTTTCCTTAAAAAATAAGTTCTTTATTTCTTGGCTTGATATCTCACATGTCATGCAGGCCAAAGTCCTACATTTTTGGCTCAGGTGTGGCACAAAAAAGAACTACTGAAGGTGGCACTAAGAAGAGGCAAGCTTTCTTCCCCCCCCCCCCCAAACTTCTTCCTCCCTCTCTCTCTCTCTCTCTCTATATGTATATATTTTGTGTTCCCTCCTCCCTTGATCCTTTTTTAAAACACTTTTCGTGTTTGTTTTTTTAAGCTTGAAGCTATATACTCAAATAGTTCCTTATACTTGGCTGACAGGGATAATGATTTGCACCGAATACTTTTCATGCCAAATGGGCTTCCAGATGGGACTGATTTGGCTTATTATTCCAAAGGAAAGGTTGTGATTTATTTAGATCTTATTTAGGAAATGACAATCACGTCCATGGGGCTCGCTATATTTGATTTGTGTGTTTGTTTCTTCACAGAAAATTCTTGGAGGCTACAAGCAAGGGAATGGTATAGTTTGTAGTTGTTGTGATACTGAGGTAAAACTTATCTAGCTGTTGTTTGTCTTCATCTTGCATCAACTGCTCTTTCTCTTTCTCTCCCCTCCTGTAATTATTTTCTTTTGTGAGCAGATTAGTCCTTCACAGTTTGAAGCTCACGCAGGATGGGCAGCTAAGCGTCAACCGTGAGTAGCGTCCAAGAATTGCTTGTTAGTTAGATCATTTAAGTATGCTATATTTATTTAATCTCCACTTTTTTACAGGTATCGTCATATTTATACTTCTAACGGACTGACGCTGCATGATATAGCTCTATTATTGTCAAATGGTCAAAATGTAACCACAAGTAATAGTGATGATATGTGCGCAGTGTGTGGAGACATAGGCGAACTGATTGTTTGTGGTGGATGCCCTCGGGCTTTTCACCCAGGTAGAATACTTACGTTCTGGGTGAAACTCCTGCTTTCATAACTGATTTGAATTCCCATTTTGTTGTTTCTATTTTATTTCTGATGTTTTCAAAATATGTTAATCTTAAATGTTGTTCAGCATCTAATTTATTTCCCATGTAAACCTCCATAAGTTTAAAAGATATATTTTACTACCATATAGACCACTATGCATGAAAAGTTATGGCACTGATTGTGAAGGATTTGTTACTTGTTCACAGTTTGTGGTATGTGCTTTTGTATCATAACATGTCTTTTACTGTTTATGGGTGCACAGCTCGTCTGTGTTGATTACATGTGCTTATGAAGATTGTCTTGCTGCATTCATGTATATTAAGATTTTTTATGTATATCAAGTTAAAACTGCATCAAATATCACATAGGCTTTATGATTTTTATAGTTTGAACTTGTAATCTAAGTCAATTGAGTCCGTACTTATATATAGGCTGCAGGGACGTCTCATTGTGCAATTAAGGTCAGTGTATTATCTTTTCTTCTCCGTTTTGGNAGGCTTTATGATTTTTATAGTTTGAACTTGTAATCTAAGTCAATTGAGTCCGTACTTATATATAGGCTGCGGGGACGTCTCATTGTGCAATTAAGGTCAGTGTATTATCTTTTCTTCTCCGTTTTGGAAAGTTCTATGAGCATAGATAACTGCTCATGGCTGGCAATTTGAATTGTGTAAATAACCTTAGGTTTTAGCTATTATAACAAAATTTGTATCTGACTGAAAATTTCATTTATGAGGACACTTTTGTGTGGGTATATTTCTTCTGACCCATGCTCTAGGTTTGGTTCCTACATTTCCCCAGCCATGGCTTGAACAGCATTTTGCAGGGTTTTAATTCTTCACTCATCCCCATTGGTGATGGCTGGAAATACCATTAGACCACAAGAGCTTCTGGGATGTAAAAATACTCGGAAGACCCAGTTCACTCTTAATTTTGATTGGTGCAGCGTCTTAACCACCCCCTTTTTCTCCCTATATATTTAACATCTTGGCTAATAAAGCAATTCAATTATTTTGTCTGCCTCATTAGCTTAGGCAAATTATTAGTTGGAGTTTCCTATTTTTTATGGTTCTTTTGTTAGTTACCAAGAAGATGAGGTTAGGCCTTGGCACAACAATAAAGTTTGTCATTGTAATTTGGTAATCAAGGGTTTGTGTCACAAAACAGCCTTTTTACATGCAAAGGAGTAACGTTGCGTATATCCGACCCTCCCCAAACCTTGCAATGGTGGAAACCTTGTGCACTAGACTGCCCTTTTTTCTTTCTTGTTATCAAGAAGATGAAAGTGAAACAAGATAATTTAGAGTAGTGTCCTCAAAAGTGTCATGGCTTAGTTCTCTGACCCTGCACTCAAAAATGGGGATGACCTTTTGTTGGGTGGTAATTTGGATAGGTCTGTTAGCTATGCTGTGAAATTCTGTTTGATTGCCCTCTGATTATGTCATGGTTTGGCATCTGTGTTCTAGCTATGCTTTCAAATTTGATGTGCACTTTTTTATGTAAAGATCTTAAGTAATTATGTTTGGCTCATATATAAACATATTCTGGCATGCAGTTTGCTTGGGATTACAATGTGTTCCCACCGGTGAGTGGCACTGTCAGTATTGTAGAGACAAATTTGGTCCTGGTAGAAAAGCTGGTGGAGAGTTTAGACCTATACTTGTACGCTTGACACGAGTTGTGAAATCACCAGAATCTGAAGTTGGTGGTTGTGTTGTTTGCAGGTTTGTTGCAAGAATTTTGTCATCTACCTGGACTTTTTTATGTAGAAATCATTATAATTTCATCACAGATTTTAACTTTGATGCCTTTTATCTGGAAACAAAATACCTTTTCATTTGTTTGTTTGGTTTTCATGTTAATTTTGCTATTGATTTTTTTAGAGTTCTATTAATATGTTGAATTCACATACATCAGGGTCATTTATTAGGCTGGATCTGCTCCAGTTCACTTCATATTGGATCATTTCATAAAGTTTGGATTCATTTGCCCTATGCAATTTCATAGTGAACCTTCTTCACTTGCATTCTGCTTATGACTTAACATGCAAGAGTTGTGGGAAATAAAGGTTGTTAGCTGGTTTAGTTCCTGCCAACCAAGAGTTGTGAATGTACTAGACATGGAGGTCCTTGGTTCAATTCATTTGTGCCCTGGACTTGGGTAGAGAGGGGTTGTTCATGTGGTCCATGGGATTACGTTTTTCTCCTAAAACGTCGGCTGCGAAGCTGGGGGAGACCCACGTATGTGTGTGTGGAGACATGCACACACTCCCTCCCCATCCCCCAACACACAACAAAAAAAAAATACACTCATCTCTTTTTCCTTTAAAAAACACAAAAAATGGAAGCTACAGGTTTACTTCTGTATGTTCAAGCTTACAAAACAGATATAGGCTCAACTCTTGAAACCTTGGCAGGAGAAGGGTGGGGGGCACCAGCATATTGTATGTATGCACGTGAGAGCACACACCCAGGAAAAAAAACAAACAGATTACTTCTGTATGTTCATGCATAAAAACTGACTTGTTTTTCTTTGTTATCTTTACTAGGGCGCAGGACTTCAGTGTTGCAAAATTTGATGAGCGAACCGTTATTCTCTGTGACCAAGTAAGGCTGGCCGAACCTTCCCAACCCCAGCCCCCTTATTGTGTGTTCTTATAGTAATCTTTGAATATTACTTTTCATTCTTGTCTAGTGTGAGAAGGAGTACCATGTTGGTTGCTTGAGGGACAGTGGGCTCTGCGATTTAAAGGTAAGCTTCAGAAGATTTGCTTAACTTTCAGCAAATGGTGTTTGCATGGACACTTTCCAATCATTGATGTTTCTGAAAATTGACTCAGGAACTCCCCAAGGATAAATGGTTTTGTTGCGATGATTGCAATAGGATCCATCAGGCTCTGCAATATATTGCACTCAATGGAGCGGAGGTGATTCCAGCTCCAATGTCGAATATGATAAATAAGAAGCTTGCAGAGAAAGGATTGAGCGATGGAGCTGCAAATGATATCCGATGGCAAATTTTGAATGGGAAAAGTCGCAGTCCGGAACATCTGCTGCTGCTTTCTAGGGCTGCTGCAATTTTTCGTGTAAGTTCTTGCTTTTATCATTTATATTTTTTTCTTCCATGTATGCTGTACTGAGTTTTTTTGGGCCCCTCTTGATCTTTTTCATGGTTTCAGCTTTCTTCTGCGTGATCTAAGGTTCATTAATCCCCCTAGATTTAGGAAATCGTTATGTATGAGTGTGGCCTGCATTGAAACTTAATGAATATGGTGCAAAACTTCTACTTATAAAGCCTTTTCCCTGTCTTTGTCTGCGGAACATTTTTCTGGAATATGTTTTATATTTATTGATGTTGTATTCTTTCCTTGTTAATTTGACTGTTTGTGGTTGGATTTAAGTTTATGTGCTACCTTTTTGCAGGAGTGTTTTGATCCTATTGTTGCCAAATCTGGTCGCGATCTCATTCCAGTTATGGTCTATGGGTAAGTGGCCCTTAATATATCTCTTTTCAAGAATGTATTTACAAACACCGTAACCAAAAAGGCTTTGGTTACCTTGTACACACCATATGTCTATAGCATCCTATCAGGAATAATGGATTTCGTTTAAAATTTGAGTGTCATTTGATTTTCAGATCATAGAGAGATTACTATATTCTTGCTTCTGTTTTGATNTTTCTCTATTCAAGAATGAATTTACAAACACCGTAACCAAAAAGGCTTTGGTTACCTTGTACACACCATGTCTATAGCATCCTATCAGGAATAATGGATTTCGTTTAAAATTTGATTGTCATTTGATTTTCAGATCATAGAGAGATTACTATATTCTTGCTTCTGTTTTGATGCATGAAGTGGATAATGGTGTTTGTTTGTGACGATAATCCCTGGTCTTTGGTAATGGGACACATGGTTATTTTGGAATGGATGACTAATTTTTGGGCAGAAAGTAGTCTAAGTGCATGTAGCACTAAGCATAACTCTTACTATTTTCCCTTTTCTTGGTCTTAAATGAATTTTACTTGCATGCGGTCGTGGTATTTCAATCAAAAAAAAAATTCTTGTCATAGTATTCAAATGCTTACTACTTGGTTAATTTAGCAGAAGAAGTGATCTTAAAATTTTGAAACTAGATGTCCATATGAATATTGGATCTTGGGGTTGANTACTTGCATGCGGTCGTGGTATTTCAATCAAAAAAAAAATTCTTGTCATGGTATTCAAATGCTTACTACTTGGTTAATTTAGCAGAAGATGTGATCTTAAAATTTTGAAACTAGATGTCCATATGAATATTGGATCTTGGGGTTGAGGTAAAAATGGTTTTTTTTATTTCCGGAAAATAAGGTAAATATGGTTAAAATTCTATACAAGTTGATTGTTTGCTATAATAATTACAAAGGCTTATTCTTGGCTCACTTACGTATATGATTGTACAAATATCACACTTTAACAAGTAAAAATCCAACTAGTTTAAGTATTGACAATTCTTAAGGCTATCATATTGCAATCTGAGGGATACTGAGATTGCGGTAACATGAATACGTGAACGATGATATTTATTGCAATACTGAAACTGAAATCATGCTAAATAGCCTTTCGAATGTGACTTTCATTATATTATGAATCTTTAGTTGTCCATTGTATTTTGAAACTATTTGTTTCTTTCTGTTATAAATTATTTACTAATCTCTAGAAACAACCGCCCTCCCCTTTCAGGGTGGAAAAACTTGAACAAGATAGAAAAAAGAGAAGTAGACAAAAATCTTCCTTAATTTTATGGCGTGTCACCAACTATATCATGATACATGTCAAGTTTAAAGGGATGTTACTTGAGTTATGCTTGTGCATGTGCGCCTCTATAATGTACAAATTAGCTTTATGCACATATGCATGCATTTTTTTTTTTTTGGGAGGGGAGGGGGAAGGGGGACACATGCATGCATGAATATGTGGGAAAAAAAATCGTGTCATGCCTTCCTGAATGTGATTGTTAGAGTATTAAAACTTGAATGGATAGTGTTATGCTTTGATGTAAACATGAAATATTTATTTGCCACCTGTGCAGGAGAAATATTTCTGGTCAAGAATTTGGAGGAATGTACTGCATTGTGTTAACTGTGAAGTAAGTTACTTGCTTGGAAGTTACTTTTGCCTGTTCTGTTGTTATGTAGTTTTAATCACAGTTTTTTTGTTGGTTTCATAGTTAGGTTAATTTTAATTGTTCTGTCTAAATGCATGCTCAGGTCAGTAGTTGTATCAGCTGGCCTTCTCAGGGTTTTTGGACGAGAGGTTGCTGAGCTTCCTTTAGTGGCTACAAGCAGAGAAAACCAAGGAAAAGTGAGTGCTTTCTGTTTAGCAGATAATGGTCTTTTTTTACTGTTAGCAATGCTCTCTTTCCTCCTTTTTTTTGTTTTTTTTTTTATGTTTTTGTTTGTCTTTTTCTTTTTCTTTTTTTTTGGATTGCTTGTGAGGAAGGAGTCATTTGTTGTTTCTTACCTACCATATTTTGATGTCTTTTTATCTGTAGGGTTATTTCCAAGCGCTATTCTATTGTATTGAGCAGTTACTGTATTCTATGAATGTTGAAAACCTGGTGCTCCCTGCTGCTGAGGAAGCTGAATCCATCTGGACAAAGAAATTAGGCTTCAGAAGGATGAGTGATGAGCGAGTAAGTACACTCTTACAATCCAATGGATAGTCTAGTTCATTATTTCTTTCGATTTCTATAAGGTGCTTCATGGATTACAAAACTGAAAAAAACACAATGAATTTTAAGCTTACTGGATCAACTTTAAGTAATCAGACATGGAACAGGGGCTGAAATGTATCATGGTCCACACTGAGGTATTTCTGTGTGGTAAGGAGGACGAAAATTAGCGTGGCTGTGATTGGTGATAAGGACAGATAAGATGACATGATTTGAAAAAAACATAAACACTCTTGATGATATGATCTTCAGAAAAATGAGTTCATAGACTCTGGCATTGAATTATACCAAGCTACCATGTTTTCTTAACTAACCTGGAAGGCTGGAGTCACTCAATTTAACCGTTAACGCACAAATATCAAATCTGTATAATGTAAAGCAGACATGATTGAAATAGTGTGGCTCAGGAACAAGAGCATAAAATGAAATGGAAAAAAGGAGTGGAACTGGTCATTATTTGAGGCAATGATTTCTGTGGTTTAGTATTTGGCATACCTTGTCCAGGACTTGAAGATGTGTGAGAGAGAAATGCTTTGTTCTCATGCAAAGCACAAGAACTCCTCCACCATTGCCTTATTCATAGACACACCCAGCTCTGCCTAGATTGTCCTGACTTCGTATTATTATTGAAAAAGAATAAAACTCAATCTTCAGGTAAAGAAACGAAACATACGATTGTGGTTACCTTGTAAACCTTGCACAAAGATGTGGTGTAATAAGACAAATCTAAAACAGCTACCTTATAATTGGCCGACTTCAGTAAGTAGCAAATCTGGTTTATAGTAGTTTAGTGGCAAGCGCACGAAAAGATACGGGGAGCACGGACATGATGGTCCGGGTATGAACGTGTTGTTATCATAACTTGTAAATTATTATGACCATGTTTCATTGAGTTCCACAAGGGCAAAAACAAAGGGAGGGGGACGGCATTACAATTTATATGAGCAATTATGTTTTGTTCTTTTGGCTGCTTGATTTTACTTCTCACATAAGTGCAAGGGGAATGGCAATTTGNCGGCATTACAATTTATATGAGCAATTATTTTTTTTTCTTTTGGCTGCTTGATTTTACTTCTCACATAAGTGCAAGGGGAATGGCAATTTGTTTATGGCTTCATTGGCATCGCATATAACTATTTCACCTTTATGTTTTCAGCCAGTGATATTAGACTAGGTTCTAACTCTTGTTACCATGCCGTACTGAGCAGTTGAAGACATATACAAGGCATCTCCAGCTGACAATTTTCAAGGGGACATCAATGTTAGAGAAGAAGGTCCAGCAGTTGGCAGCTTAATACATGTTTGATTTTACAAACTATCTACCGGGCCAATGACTAACGATTTCAAGGGGACATCATCCGCAGCATCCAGGGTGCTGATTAATCTTCTTGCTCGTCTCTTAAAGCATGCGAGTGATCTTTGGATGATAATTGTGGAGGGGGATATCAGTGTTGAGGGTGGAGGTGCAGCCATGCAGCAAGTAACATATGTGTCATGGTTTGGTTCTTTAAAAGTGATTCCGCAGGAAATGTAGGACTCTATTATTTTTTCACACTCTCCCCCCCCCCCCCCCCAAAAAAAAAAAAAAACCCAAAACTACTCTTTGTACCATAACAATGCTCTATTGTTTGTGGGGTGATCAGTAATCTGATAAAGTGTGTTGCTCATGTACAAAAAAAAAAAAAGGAAAAAAGAATGGGATGTACAGAGGGTCCGTTGAAGGCCAGAGTGCATGCTGAACTTTTATTATGCATGCAGTTAGTCAATTTTTTTTTTTTTTGCTCTCTTTGTGGGGTAATTTTCTCTCGTAGCTTTAGATGTGTATACAGAAAGCAATGTTAAGTAGAGAACAGTGTTTTGATGCGTGTGCCACGTGAAAAAGAATTTTAGTAGTCACAATTCTTGTTCTGTTTGATTTTTTCTTTTTGTTTTTCCTTTGCCTCTCTTATATTAAAAAATTGTGTAACCAAGCAGACGTTTGCTGATCTGTCAAGGTGTTGTGTGACATGCAAAAAATTGTTCAATTAATATTCGGTCTATTTATAANTGTGCCACGTGAAAAAGAATTTTAGTAGTCACAATTCTTGTTCTGTTTGATTTTTTTCTTTTTGTTTTTCCTTTGCCTCTCTTATATTAAAAAATTGTGTAACCAAGCAGACGTTTGCTGATCTGTTAAGGTGTTGTGTGACATGCAAAAAATTGTTCAATTAATATTCGGTCTATTTATAATTTTGTATAGTTAAGGTGATTGTGTTATTTTGAATTTGTGTCGTAATTTATAATTTGAGTTAAAACTAGTTAATTTTATGTCAATTTTGCGTTGAATTGACGGAACAGAACATTACATCAGCATAAAGCAAGAGTAGGATTCATCTGTTGAGAAATCCGACTATGTGAGAGCTCTATACTGGATAGAAAATAAATTGGAAGTGAGCAAAACCCAATACTACCATGATAGGAAGGTGTTTTTTTTGGCCTTTTATCGTTTGTATGTTAGTGGGTGAAGTTTAGCCCAAGCCACTTCATTTTATGTATATATTGGGTAGAAGTTTGAAATCCATAAAGAAACTTACACTAAAGAAAGTCCGATAACAAATGCCTTTGACAGAGTTTGATTTAAGTTTGAAATATAAATCGGGCAGGACCAATATACTAGTTGATGCTTGCAGAGTTTTTGATAGTTGATTTATTATTAAATGAAATTAAGTGAAAGTATAATGAATGATAATGATCTTAAACAAACGACTTCTTTTTTATTTTTTGAACAATTTGTACATGGTAGGAGTCTTTTGAACTGGTTGTATATGGGGAGGAGGTGGGTGAGGTTTAAACTCACAATGTTAAAGTCTAACAACAGGGTTGTTGGTCATTAAGCCACAATTAAATCCTTTTTTTTTTTTTGGTTTTTTTGGTAGTTATAATCTAACCTAAATGAAAAGATCACATGAATTATAGCACACTAAGGTACTTCGTGTTTGAATGTACTGTGTAAATAAATAATTTTGAATGGAATGTTGATGGCCATTAAATAAGTCTATTTGAGACCGTTTACCCTCTATTACCTTATATTTGAAAACACTACACAATGTAAATGGCTTCGAGTAGAATGTTGATGGTTATTGAATGAGTCTATTTGAAACCATCTAATTGACTTATTAAAGTATGTCCTCTGTTTAACATGTCAAATGAATTTATTGAAATTTGCATATTTTATATTGAGTAAATTGCACCAATAGTCGCTGAGATTTACCATTTATTACACTTTCATCACTAAAGTTCTAATTTCTTTAATTTTGTCCTTCTTGTTAACACATTAATTCACTTTGGTTCTTACCCCTAATTGTTGTCCAAATAATAGATATAAAATGTCATGTGCCAAGCATATGAGGGTATTAAGGGACATTTTTGGTATTTTACAACAATTTATGTATCCAAACACAATTATCCTTGAACCCAAACACCCACTTTCTTTCTTTCTTTTTGAGGTTTTTCTCTTCTCTCTCCCACACACATACACAAATCCTTCTGATTTCTCTCTTCCTCACACCCAAACATCTCTCTCTCTCTCTCTCTCTCTCTTATTACTGCATCTCCATCCCCAAACTCAACACATCCCTTTCTCTCATCTCTTGTTCCTACGTATCCACCCCCAAACCTAACACATCTCCCTCTTTGCTCTTTTCTCTCTTGTTGTTGCGTCTCCACCCCCAAATCCAACACATCTCCCTCTCTTGTCTTTCGTTTCTCATTATTGTGTCTCCACCCCCAAACCCAACACATATCCCTCTCTATTATCTCGTTACTGTATCTCCACCCCTAAACCCAACACAAAACAATAAATACACATCCACAACACAAACCCACAGTCACATACACTCACATGGATTCAAAAACTTGATTTTCCAAGACCTCTATGGGCGATCAAGCCCCAATTCTTTCTAAACCCACAATCTCGGCTTTGATCTCTAAATTTTAGAAAATTGTAATGGGGCGACGCTTCTGAGCTCGACAAGAGAGAGATTGTTGATTGGGGTGTTAGGGTTTTATACCCTTTGTTTGTCTTGCACTAAACACAGAGAGAGAAAGAGAATGTGTGTGTGCTTGAATTGAAATCGAAGTCGATTTTGTCTGATAAGCGATGCTTGATTTGGCTTGTTGGGCAAACCTAAATTGCCTCTGTGCATCTGCGTGAGTGTGTGTATGTATTAAGAGAGAGAGAGAGAGGTGTATTTTAGTTGGAGGGGGATAGTCTTTGAGTCTTACCGGTGAATCGCCAGTAAGTGTTTAGGAGAAGCGGAATGGGAAATTGTGCATCAGTGTGAATATGTGTTTATGCGCGCGCGTGTGTGTATGTGAGAGAGAGAAAGAGAGTGTGGGGTGTATTTCAGTTGGAGGGATAGCCTTTGAATTCTACCGATGATCGCCGACAAGCTTTCAAAGAAGGGGGAGGAGAAATGATTGTTTGTTTAACCTTGATTTTTGGTTTTTGTCTAAAGAGTTGTTTTTTCATTTATGCCCCCTTGTCTTTGGAAGCACAATGACAACAAATGCCCCTTAATCTCCTCATGTGCCAAGCACATGGCATTTTCTATCTATTATTTGGACGACAGTTAGGAGTAAGGACTAAAATAAGTTAATGTGTTAACATGGAAGACGAAATTGATAAAATTAGAACTTTAGGGATAAAAGTGTAACCAGTGATAAATCTGAGGGACTACTTGTGCAATTTAACCTTTATATTATAGATAGTCGCACCCTACTACATCACTCATCTCGCGAATATCCGTACCAAAGCTCGTCAAGCTGATCAGGGGTTTTACTAGGGTTTCTTTAAGCCCCCAAATCCATTCCATTTTTTGCTCGAATATTCAGAGCTCATTCGTTGATTTCCGATCCAAGATGGCATTTGCGTCTGCTTTTCGTCGCATTCTCAGTGGATCTTCGATGAGTCCTCCTATTCTCCAGCCTCAGTTCTCTTGGGTTCGTTTCAATTCAACACTCACATCCCCAAAGCTCTTTGTCAGTGGTATGTTGCCATATGTTATATGAGTATGAATGTTATGTTTTATTTTAATTGAGATGCATATTTCTTCTTTCCAAAAAGAAAAAAGATTGATATTGTCTTAACAGTATAGTAAGATGTGATACTATTATTATGGGGGTGTAATCTGGATTTTCTATTTTATCCTCTGACTTTGTGAACCTCAAATATTGATGGAAAATGTACACTTCTAAGTCAATCATGATTTTTGAGGTTTGCAATGTGCCTGAAAATGCATTGAGATTGAGTGGTTGAAACTGAGAATTAAAAATTATGGGTGAAATCGATATTTTGCTACAATGTCTTTTTTTTCCTCTCCAGAAATGAAGCAGGTTGGTCTATATATTATGTGAGAATGAGTTATCAAAAAATTTATTTTTAGACATAAAGAATATTTGGAGTGCATTCCACTTAATGTTATGGGATTGAGTGTGTAAAAAAAAAAAAGTGAGTGTAAAATGCACCGTGGTTTAGTAAACCCATATTCTTACTAGTTTTTGCAAATTTTGTGCTAACAATTTTTTGGTTGCGAAGGAATTGAGCATGCTGTGCATCATGTCGATTTGCTCACATTTGATGTAGCATTCAACTTTGTTAATCATGAGAGCAGCCACAACTAGAGTTATAAAAATATCCCAAATGGCCATTTTCCAAAGTTTATGGCATTGAGCTCAACTAATGAACATGAGTGAGCCAACATGTCAATTCACTCTCAGTAAGTTATAATCTCTAGAGTGAGTCACGTGTACGATGAATAAGGTGTACAAGAATTACAAAGCCCATTATTCTGTTGATTTCGTCCATGAGGGAAGAGGTAAATGTTATATGAAAGTGTAATGGTGTAAAATTTGCTTTACATAATTCAACTCAGTCTATTTCCCGTCAAAGATGCCTCATTTAGAACATCCTACGATGATAATGGGGGTGGAGTATATAATAAAACTAGTGCTTAATCAATAAAGAGGCTGGCATGTGAAATGTTATGGGCTTCTGTACGACTTCTAATTTTTTTACCACTTATCCCTCTTAGGTGGGAACCACGACGTGTGCGTTTTTGTAGACATTATATAAATTTAAGGTTTTTTTTTTTTTTGCTTACATGCACGTGTTTTTAGCCTATCAAGAGGTTTGTTTATATAATGACAAAAAACAAACAATTAAAAAGAGCTCTATCAAGAGGTTCTAGTTGCCAACTGAGAGAAGATTCTACCAATGATTTATGTTCATCTTAGGAGGAAATCATGTGGTATCCATTTTCCTTATGTATATTCTCCTCTCCTCACCCTTATTCTACAATTTTTTCTATTAGTTGGCCACTTGTCTTTCCCCTCGGGGTTTCACACAGCTTGGGTATGAAGCCATCCTCAGCATGTTTCTACCTTCAGGAAGTATCCTGTATCTTACGTAAGAAAGGGCCAATATCTCTGGTTATTGCCTTTGGCAGTCAGCTTTTATCATTGCTATAAAGTATAAACAATATCACTCAGAAAGAATTATCCAGCTTGATTCATATATCGGATGCAAGTACTCCCAAATCACGTCTTACCCTACTGTTTGTGAAACATAATGTTCCAAATGCATGATCTCAAAATTTAATGTTAGCCATTTGCCTATGATTAGCCCTCATTTTTCAGATGGGTAAAATATGCCACGAAGTTTAATAATGATAATTTATTCAGATTAACAGAAATACTTAAATATATTTTACATTCTAATTTAGGGAGGCTAGCTTTGCTGCCCACAGTTAAATCCAGTAAATTGTATCACAATCATTGTCATTATCAACCAAAATGGCCATGCTGGCCCGTGCTTATTATTTTCTCAAATTGTATGCCCCTAGAAATGATGTACTCGAAAATGCTTAGTGTTGGAACCAGAAAGTCTCTCTAAATCATTATCAACCAAAATGGCCATGCATATTATTTTCTCAAATTATATGCCCCAAGAAATGATGTACTCGAAAGTTTTAATTCCTTCTTCCGGTCTATCCTGTGAAACTGTTTCAATTTGTAATTTATAGTGCAGCAGTTCAGAAGTAAGCATTGTTCATAAGCTAATGAACATTGAAATATTTTTTTTTATGATAATGGCATCAATATTAGTAAGATATGACATCTGAATTCTAGCTGTATTTGCGTTAACTTTTTGGGGATCTTTTTTTGGTTTTTGCTCTATTGCTTTACTGGACTGGCAACGTTATTTTAAAATTCGGCCAGATAGTGGCCATTTTGTCCATTTATAAGATTCTGTACTTATAGCTTTATATGTAAAGGTTAGAGGGGTAAGGTTGTAAACAAACCAAGTTGTACTCGATGGACCTGGTCACAATTGTGGGTTAAATGAAGAATGGAGAGATGTAGCGAGGTAAGTGGTGCAGATATCTTACACCTGTTTCTGTCTCTGTACTGCGGCTCGTTGTCATTGAGAAATGTTGAAAGCAAAAGTTGTAGGATTCGGAAGTTTCAAAGTCCTCTTGCCATGTTACTCATTTCTTCATATAACCTATATTTCTGACCAGGTTCAATGTCCACCGCTTCATTCCTCTGGATTCACTCATTGTCTACCTTTAGATTCTCTTGTTTTTTTACGTTTACTGAAGTCTCTCTTATTCCTATGTATGGAGGGGAACTTGGTATAAATAGTTTAGTTAGGAGTTCATCTTAACAAGCAATGAACTCATAGATAAAGTGTATGCCAGGTGTCTACTGGAGTTCCCCCTTGCACTTCAGTCAGGTTTTTAGAATTCATGACTGAAGTGTTTGGAGGAACTCTGGTTGCCATTTGACATGTGATAAGTATCACAGTATAGTTTACTCTGGCTGCTGACCACTCCGATAAGTGTTAATTGCATTGGAATCACCCTTGCTGACAACATAGAGTATTATGCTAACTGGTAATAGCGTTCTGGCAAAGACTTGCTAAGAGGCTACTTGTGTTAATTATGAGAAATAGTCATAGAAATTTACCATTGGACTCCCTCCCCTTCACATATGGCATAACCCTTCGAAAACCTAATAATTGAGCAAGGAAAATGGAAAAATAGAACCATTCTTTATAGCCTTCCTCCCAAGTCCCAACATGAAATTTGTGATTTGGATTCCACTACTTACTGTTAATATGTTTTTCGTGCAATTTTATTATCGGTGAACAGGTAGAAGCTTTTGGTTTTCCCAAATTTTGAGTGATTTGCTTCTTTTCAATTAATAAATAAATAGGGCTGATAATGAGTGTTGCCTCACTACTGCCCTTTCTACTTGTTTGCATCATATCATAAAGATGTCTTATTTATCTTGACCAACTGCTGTCTTGATTCTTCATGATACAGGGCTTTCAAGATTAACAACTGATGAAAAGCTTACAGAAGCATTTGCCCCATTTGGCAAGCTTATTGAAGGTGATCACAATTTTGACTAATGTTTGTGCTTTCTAGCATGTCCTTTCCTGTGGATTGGGCTGTATAACAATCTAGTTGCTAAGAAAGAGTTCCTGATCCACCCACTTTATGGTTTTGCAGCAAAAGTCATTATAGATAGAGCCTCTGGAAGATCGAAGGGGTTTGGTTTTGTTACATATGAAACAATAGAAGAAGCTGACAAAGCTCGGGAAGGAATGAATGCCAAGTTCTTGGATGGATGGGTTATTTTTGTTGATCCTGCCAAGCCAAGGGAGCCGAGACCTCCACCTCAACCAGAGGCACAGCCATCTGAAACTGGTTTCAGAACAAATAAGACTATTGGTTGGTGCGGTTGATTGCTTGAGAAGACTTTGGCCTAGATCACCATGGTAAACAGTTCGTCTAGGAAAAGTAGCCTCAAGTTATATTCGTAGGATTAGTGATATTGTTGGACTAGAGGGCAATTTATTTGTGACCAACTGATATGTAGTACACATTTTGTTGCATGTCTGTTTGAGTTCTGTTATAGTTATATAACTTATATTAAACCTGTACCTTTTATGGCATGAACCTGATGTATGTAACTTTTGCGGCCTAGACTTTTGTGGTTTTTTTCAGAGTAAAATGCTTTTGTTTTGAAATAATGGAACATGTATAATCTATAATTTATAATATAAAATGCCTTTAGGTACAGGTTGTCCCTAATTACCAAAATGCCGAATATATAAATAAAATTAATGACGAAAGTGTATAACGTACATATTTATAATTCATCTCTACCCTTTTTCTTTTTCTCTACTCCATCACTTGGAATATTGGATTCGGAAACATAGCAGTATTCTGGAATGACAGACATAATTTGAAAAAAGAAAACAAATAAATGCTAGTTAATTAGTTGGATAGAGAAAGGTTAAACATAAAGTTAAATGATGAACACAAATTATGTACTTATAAAAATATAAATAATACATTAATATTGCTATGCTTATAAAATAGTTTTATCATTTTTTTTTTACAAAAATAATGCAAATTGTTAGAACAATATGTCGTATTAACGATTTTTTGTGATGTTGAACATTCTTTAAACTACTTTTGGTAGTTGTTTATTTGAAAATTGTTTACACCCACCATGTTGGATGACAGGTCCACCTATGAATAGTGGGTCTTATTTAAATTCATAATATCTACCATTTATTAAAATTAAGTGGAGATATAATAAAACTTTTATTAGTTTTTGTATAGATGATATAGTGAGAAGAGGATGAAGCGTAAATTTCATAAATCAAACGGCCTACTGCAATCTATTTAATATTACAGTTGCGAAGTTGAATTCTAAACTTATAAAACTACAACAATTGTCAAAATTGATCCAATCTTTATCTACTTTAATCTAATAGTAAAAAATTCATACCAATTTTTTTTTCTGGTCCAAAAATATCAACTTCTTTACACGATCTCCAATGTCAGCTAGATTTATTATATAGTATTTTCAAACATAGGGATATTGCTAGATGTATAATATATGGCAATGATTTTAGACAAATTCAGATCCAGGGCTTTCGAACAGTGCCAAAGATCACATGCATTATTAGCTCATAGTCGGGCCCCTGTAGTTATTCAGATATTCAATTACACTCCCTATTTCTTTTAAAATTTCACTGCACCTCCTTATAGATTCTAGTGTTGAATCAATGACATCCCCTACCGTTCACTGCAATCTCTAACAACCTAAATTCTAGAAAGTGGAAATTATGACTTAAATTTTGTATTTATGCCAGAATATACCCTCCAGTTGCACCAGCTTATAACTTGGCCACCTACTTGAAGAAAATTAAGTCTCTGAAAAAAGAACAAAGGTATGAAGATGTAACGAAGCCTCAATTTTTTTTTTGTTTATAATATATCCGGATTTTGTGGAATTTTTTTTTTTTGAATCTTCATTGGCATCTCTTGTCAGATTAATTGAGTTAACTATAATGTAATTTTATTAAAATATCCATGATATATTTTAAAATTTTGTTTTTAATCGACTTGAATCAAATTTTAATCTACTAGTATTGAATTTTAATCGGCCCAAATTTCGATACATAAAAAATATAAATTTTTATTGACTCAAATTTTAATACGTAAAATTTTTTTTTTAATGAACTTTAATCGAATTTTAATTGACACCAATTTTAATAAGTAAAAAAATACACATTTTAATTGACTCGAATCAAATTTTAATCTATGGTAGTAGTTCATGTTGAACTCAAATTGACTTAAATTTTAATACTTAAAAAAAAGAATTATAGTAGGCGCAAATTTTAATATATAAAAACTTTAGTTAACTTGAATCAAATTTTAATCAGTTCAAATTTTAATATATAAAAAAATAAATTTTAATCGGTGCTAGCAACTCAGGTTGAGCTCAAATGAATTTTAATATGTACAAAAATAAATTTTATTCAAATTTTATATAGAAATATTGTTTAAATTTTATGTAAGGGTAATATTGATATTTTAGATGAATTTTTTTTGTTAAAAACTATGGTTTAACTGCAAGGGATATCAATGATATTTTCAATAATAGAAAGAGTGTTCTTAAAAATATGATAAAATATATGTATATCATATGTAAGGACATTTATGTAAAATGACCTCTTCCTTTAACACTGTTAGCAAAAATCTGGAGAGTGTCAATAAAATTTTAGAAAAAATAGGGGTGTTGTTGAATATATGAATAATTATCGAGTGTGTGACTCAAGGATCAAAATATTGTTTCGAAACAGTCGAAACGTTTCCGTTTCTAAGAAAACCGAAACGAAACAATGATAAAATCGAAAATATGATATTTTGAAATATTCCGTAATATTTTTAAATGTATTATAATATTTCAATGCATTTGCATAATTGTTTTAAAATATTTTAAGATATTTTAAAATACTTTGATATAATTCTATCTATGTTTTAAAAAAATAATTTTAAAATTTTTTATTTTTTTATAATATTTTCAAAACCTATCGAAACGTTTCACCGAAACAGTACACCAAATCGATATTTCGGTCCACCTTGCGAATTAAGTTTATCCTTTTTCTTCCATGGGAAAGTAAGCTCGTCAAGATAATCAGAGGTTTACTAGGGTTTTGTCAAGTCCCCCAATAATCAGGGGTTTACTAGGGGTTTTGTCAAGATTATTAGGGGTTTACTAGGGTTCTGTTAAATCCATTCCATTTTTTGCTCGAATATTCAGAGCTCATTCGTTGATTTACGATCCAAGATGGCATTTGCTTCTGCTTTTCGTCGCATTCTCAGCGGATCTTCGATGCCTCCTTCTACTCTCCATCCTCAGTTCTCTTGGGTTCGTTTCAATTCAACCCTCACATCCCCAAAGCTATTCGTCAGTGGTATGTTCTTATCTGTTTATTCATAGGAATGTTTTGTTTGTTGGAATTGAGATTGAGATTGAGATTGATATTGATATTGATATTGATATTTTCGAATAGTATAGTTAGAAAGGATGCAACTATGGTGGTATAATCTGTCTTTGAAATTCAATTCTCTAACGTCTTGAACCTCCAATAGTGATAAATAAAAATGTGCATTTGTACTGCAAGCATGATTTTTGGGGTATGCAATGTGTCTGGAAATTTATTAAGTTGGTATCTATATACGTAATTATCAGCATGATTAGAAACAACTCTTATTTTTAGTCATAAGGAATTTGTGAAGTGCATCCCACTTAATGTGCTATGATTGAGTGACTATTAAATGCGCTATGGTTTGGTAAACCCATCTTCTTACTAGTCCTTGCAAGTTCTCTGCAAACAATTTTTTGGTTTCAAAGGAATTTAGCGTGTTGTGCTCCTTGTCGATGGCCCACATTTGTTGTGGCATTGAACTTTCTTAATCGCGAGAGCAGCCACAACTCGAGCTATAAAAATATCCCAACTGGCCATTTTTCCAAAGTCTATGGCTGTCAGCTCAACTAATGAACATGAATGAGCCAATATGCCATGTCATTCTCAGTAAGTTATGGACTCTATAGTGAGTCACTTGTACAATGGATATGGTGTATAAGGAAGACAAAGTCCCTTATTCTATTAATTTTGTCGCCGAGGGAAAGGTAAATATTATACCGAAGATGTAATGGTGTAAAATTAGCTGTACGTAATTCAATCGTTCCTCTGCATTGATTAAGCTTCAAGCTGAGTGAAATCTATTTCCCTTCAAAGATGCCTCATTTAGAACATCCTATGATGATAAAGAGGGTGAAATATATAATAAATATAGTGGTTAATTACTAAAGGGGCTGGTATATGAAATTTTACGGATTTCTGAATGACTTCTTAGGTGGGAACCACAAAATTTAAGCGTTTTTTTGCTTACATGCAAGTTTTTTTAGTTTATCAAGAGGTTCTCGTTGTCAACTGAGAGAAGATTCCTACTGATGTGTATTCTTCTCTCCTTACCCATTTTTGTAAACATATGTTCTATTGGTTGGTCACTTGTCTTTCCCCGCAGGATGTTTCTACCTTCAGGAAATGTCCTGTATCTTACATAAGAAAGGGCAATTATTTCTGGTTATTTCCCTTGGCAGTCCGCTTTTATCATTGCAATAAACAGTGTCACTCAGAAAGAGGGCATACTATGAAATAGAATTATCCGATCTTGACTCGGCTATCGGATGCAAGTGCTCCCAAATCTTGTCATGCTCGACTGTTTGTGAAACCTAATGTTCTTAAGGTATGATCTCAAAATTTAATGTTAGCCATTTGCCTATGATTAGCCCTCATTTGTCAATTTTGGGATGGGTAAAATATGCCACAAAGTTTGATACAGAATATTTATTCAGATTAACAGAAATACTTAAAGGCATTTTTCATTGAATTTAGGGAGGCTCACTTTGCTGCNAAAGTTTGATACAGAATATTTATTCAGATTAACAGAAATACTTAAAGGCATTTTTCATTGAATTTAGGGAGGCTCACTTTGCTGCACACAGTTAAATCCAATAAATTGGATGACAGATGTGTTGGGACCAGAAAGTCTCACTAGATCTTTATCAATCAACATGGCCGTGCTTATTATTTTCTCACCTTATATGCTCCAAGAAATTATTTCCTTGAAAATGATAATTCCTACATCCGNGCACACAGTTAAATCCAATAAATTGGATGACAGATGTGTTGGGACCAGAAAGTCTCATTAGATCCTTATCAATCAACATGGCCGTGCTTATTATTTTCTCACCTTATATGCTCCAAGAAATGATTTCCTTGAAAATGATAATTCCTACATCCAGTCTATCCTGTGAAGATGTTGCAATTTGTAATTTATAGTTCAGAAGTAAGCCTTGTTCATAAGCTAATGAACATGGAAATATTTTTTGATGATAATGGCGTATCTGTATTGGAGGGATATGATATCTGAATTCTAGCTGTATATATATATATATATATATATATATAAAGTTATTTTGAAATTCGAGCTGGTAGTGGCCTTCTTGCCCCTCTACNGGAGGGATATGATATCTGAATTCTAGCTGTATATATATATATATATATATATATATATATATGTATATATATAAAGTTATTTTGAAATTCGAGCTGGTAGTGGCCTTCTTGCCCCTCTACAAGATTCTGCACTTTATAGCCCTATATGTAAAGGTTAGAGGGATAAGGGTCTAAACAAACCAAGTTGTAGTCGATGGACCTGGTCGCAATTGTGAGTTAGATGAAGAACGGAGAACGGTAGCAAAGCAAGTGGCCCAGATATCTTACACCTGTTTTTGTCTCTGTACTGGAGCTCGTTGTGATTGAGAAATGTTGAAAGCAGAAGTTGTAGGATTGAGAAGTTTGAAAGTACTCTTGCCATATAACTCATTCCTTCATCTAACCCATATTTCTGACCAGGTTCAATGTCCACAACTTTATTCCTTTGGATTTACTCATTCTCTACCTTTACACCCTCCCATTTTTTACATTTACTGTAGTCTCCTTATGCCTGTGCATGATGGGAAAGTTGGTATAAATAGTGCAGTTAGGAATTCATCTTAACAAGCCATGAACCCATAGATAAAGTGTATGCCAGCCAGGTGTCTACTGGAGTTCCCCCTTGCACTTCAGTCAGGTTTTAAGAATTCATGACTGAAGTGTTTGGGGGAACGCTGGTTGCCATTTGACAAGTGATTAGTACCACAGGATAGTTTACTCTGGCCGCTGACCACTCTGATTAGTGTTATTGCATTGGAATCACCCTTGCTGAAAACTTAAGAGTATTATGCTTGTCTTGTAATGGCATTCTGGCAAAAACTAGGCTACTTGTGTTAATTATGGGAAATGGTTAAAGGCTATTACCATCGGACTCCCTCCCCTTCATATAACCCTGAGAAAACATACCAATTAAGGAACGAAAATAGAAAAATAGAAGCATACTTTATAGCCTCCTTCCCAATGAATTCCACTACCTACTGGTAATATGTTTTTTCATGTGATTTTATATAGGTGAACAGATAGAAGCTTTTGATTTTCCAAATTTTGAGTAATTTGTTTCCTTTCGTTTAACTATTAAATAGCTCTGATAATGATTGTTGCCTCACAACTGCCCCCTGCCCTGTCTACTTGTATGCATCATATCATAAAGATGTCTTATTTGTTTTCACCAACTGTTGTCTTGATTCTTCATGATACAGGCCTTTCAAGATTAACAACTGATGAAAAGCTTGCAGACACATTTGCCCCATTTGGCCAGCTTATCGAAGGTGATCACAGTTTTGACTAACGTTTGTGCTGTCCAGCATGTCCTTTCCTGTGGATTGGACTGTATCCCAATCTAGTTGCCAAGGAAGAATTCCTGATCTGCCAATTTTATGTTTTTGCAGCAAAAGTAATTGTAGATAGAGCCTCTGGAAGATCTAAGGGGTTTGGTTTTGTTACATATGAAACAATAGAAGCAGCTGAGAAAGCTCGGGAAGGAATGAATGCCAAGTTCTTGGACGGATGGGTTATTTTTGTCGATCCTGCCAGGCCAAGGGAGCGGAGACCTCCACCTCAACCAGAGCCACAGCCCTCTGAAACTGGTTTCAGAACAAATAAGACTATTGGTTGGAGTGGTTGATTGCTTGAGAAGACTTTGGCCCAAATCACCATGAATGATAAACGGGTCAGCTGGGAAAGATAGCCTCAAGTTATATTCATAGGATTAGTGTTATTGTTGGAACAGAGGACAATTAATTTGTGACCAACTGTTTTGTATTAATCATTTTTTACATGTTTGTTTGAGTTCTGTTATCGAAATATAATCATGTTAAACCTTTACCTTTTGTGGTATAAACCTGATATATTGTTGGCTTAAACTTTTGTGGTTTTTGGGTAAGTGATTGGAAGAAAGATATTCTTGTTATGAGAATAAATACAAGAGTAAACTTGAAGCAATGAAGGGAAACAAGTATACGGATAGACACAAAAAAAGTTATAGCTTTTAATAAATAAAATTTGTTATGAAATGACGGACATAAATAAAATTGGGGACGAAGGTATGATATTCGGAATTTATAATTTTTCTGTAGTCATTTTTCATTCCTCTACTCTATCACTTGGAATATTAGATTGGGAGTAATATCATGGGATGAATAAATATATATATTTTTTAAAAAATAAATAAGTAGTAGTTAATTATTATTGTTGGGATAAAAAAGAATTGAACAGGAAATTAAATGATGACAATAAGATGTAATCAAGAACAATAAATAGTACTATAAATTGCTCGTGCTTGAAAATATTATGTGACAAAAAATATTACAAATTAAAAGAAAATTATCGCCAGTCATGAAATTCAATATTATCATCACACCATCCCACGTCTCAATGTATTTTACTCCAAAAAATGAAACATCATCGTAACAATATAAAATTACAATTTATCAAACAAAGTTTCAAAATCCAACAATGCAGAGAGTTTATTAATGTCAATCCTAAAGACAACACAAACATAATATCGTATAGATTCAATAATCTACTCAAGCATAATGAAAAAAAAAAAAGTGAATGATAGTATCAAATCCGAAATTAAACTAAGAAACCCCAAAAAAAAAAAAAAAAGATATTGCATATTGAATTAAACTAACAAAAAAGTTTCAACTAAAAGATATCGCATATTGAAATAAAATAAGAAATTCCAAAAATTAGAAAAAAGATATTGCATATTGAATTAAACTTAAATGTCTTGTGCTTTCCGAGCAGTCTCTTCAAACACGACCAAACACACAGTCACCTAGCAAATTGATAAGGGTGAGGTAAGAATTTTTTTGGGGGAAAGGTATTGCAGTAAGATTTTTTTTGGGGAAAGTACTTGATAGTGATGAAATTTTGAGTATGGCCCCGTAATCAAGTAACCCAACGAGCCAAAGAAACCAATGATTGCGTAATGGCCCAAATAGGGGGTCAATAGTCTATCTACACCAAGAGCAGAGTTTACGGAGCTCAAAGGGAAAGGCCTAACGGTGCCAGAGGATCTAGACTCCAACCCAGATCCAGTCCAACTCAGCCATATGTCAGCTTGGTTAGGGGAGCTCGGCCCAACGCCTGTCCTAAAATGCCCTCGTCGTGCCACGTATCCTAAGGATAGGGGGACCACTTCTGACACCAATAAAAAACACGCATTCCTTGGCACAGAGATCGTTGGGACGCATAACCGATTTAGAGATCGTGGGTACCGTGGCGTCGTGTGCAGAGGTTGTTACAGGAAAAAAGTGGAGGGCCCACAGAATCAACAAAAAGGAAGAAGAAGCTTCAAGAATCCCTAGAAGAATCATCTGTATAAATAAGACACTGTTATGCTGCAGTAAGGGATCATCTCCTACATTGGTACTCCTGAGTCATCAACACTGTCTATCCCATTTGCACATTGTTCTTGTAAAGGCCCTGAGTCAGTTATACTATTATACTTACCAAAAATCAAGTAATATACAAACTTGAGAATTAAAATACTCCCTTACAATAGACGTAGCCTTAGTCTCTTGGCTAAGGTGAACCACTTATGTTGTGTTCTAGTTTTTTCCCTATTGTTCTATTCCTTGCCGTTCATTATATTTACCCTGCATTCTTTATGGGCCAACCGGCTAAGGTACTTTATGGGCCACCATCAGTTTGGCGCCGTTTGTAGGAAATGGTTTTCATTGTTTTCTTTTGAGTTTTCTTACATCCTTGCTTGTTTGATGGTTTCAACCCAGAATATGAGTAAATCTCACATCAATCCCCAAGTTCACCAAAACTTACCGGGGAACTTTTTGGCCCCCAAAGCGGACGTCGAGAACCACCCCCTGGCGGTGGACCCCCCTCCGCTCAACGAACTGGAAGCCTATCGTCGAACCACAATGCAATTGATAAAGCAGAACCAAGAGTTGATGACGTGGATACAGACACACCAGCTTCCGCAGTTCCCACTAGCACATTAGGAGCCTCCTCCACCCCCGGCATAACACGACGCCCTTCCTCAAGAACACCAAGCTCTGCCTAATGGAATCACGGAGCTTCATGAGCACAACTACTCTAGGGAAAATCATCGGAGGAGATATCTAGGGGAACACACAGAAGACAAAGCCCACAGTCGGGCCCGAGCCGCCTATCGAGAAGACAGACCCCTTCCCCCACCGGATGCCATGGATTACTTGTTGGAGCAAAGACTTCACGAGCTCCAACGAGAGCTGGGTAACATGAAAGAAGTGGTCAAGGGGAAAGCCCCCGACACCATGGATGCTCTAGTCTAGCAAACCGGGTTACCATTCGCTTATGAGATCCTTTACTTTTCTTTCCCCCAAAAATTCTGGGTACCATCAATAGAAGCGTTCGACGGGACCAAAGATCCAGTTGATCACTTGAACTTCTACAAAAATCAAATGAAACTTTAGGGATACCTAGACCCAATTTGCTGCCGAGCTTTTGCCATCACCCTCAAAGGGTCGGCAATTGCTTGGTTTAACAGGTTATAACTAGCATCGATCTCCTACTTCAAGGAGCTATCTATACAATTTGTATCGCACTTCATCAGAGCAAGGACATACAAGAATCTGTCCTACCATCTTCTGAGCGTCAAACAGGGGCTCAACGAGTCCCTTCGAAGCTATGTACAATGGTTTAACCAAGAATGCCTGAAGGTGAAAAGTGTGGACGACAGGTTCTCACTAACCACTTTCATGTTTGGGCTCAGAGTTCAGTCCAAGGACTTCCTCCTCTTAATCGCAAAAAATCCTCAAGCCACTATGGCCGAGGTACTTGCAAAAGTCAAAAAGTACATCAATGGTGAGGAGGCCCTTCACCTAAAAGGGGTTTTAACGTCGGCAGAAGGAGAAAAGAAGAAGAGGGACCACATTCCCAGAAAGGGGAGAAAACATGATCGGTCCCCGAGAAGAGGCTGTTCTCTGAGAAGAGGCCATTCTCCGAGGAGAGGAAGATAGCCTTCTCCTAAAAGAAGAGGCAAAGTAAGAGACCACCTGGGACCCCCGCCACAAGAGTTACAACCCAATATGCCCTAGCGCGACTCTCGCCTTTGGTCACCTCTATTGCACAAGTCCTCCACGAGGTCCAGAATGAAAGGTTCATCTGATGGCCACCTTGAATGAAATCTGATCCTAGGAGGAGAGACCCTGCAAAATACTGTGAATTCCATAAAGACACCGACCAAGAGATAAACGATTGCATCCAGCTCAAAAAAGAGATAAGAGTACCTGATCCAAAGATGTCATCTGCACCACTACGTGACGGAAGAAGTAAGAGAGCAAAACAACCAGGGGCAGGACACCCAGGCTGCCCTTCAGCCCCCGCAACAACATCAATAGGCTCTTGGCAAAATTTGGGTCATTTTAGGGGGTTTTGCCAAAGGAGGTAAGTCCATCTCGGCATGAAGGGTGTACGCCAGAAAAGCGCGATCAGAAGATTTTTTGAGGTCCAGGCAATTCAAAAAGCCCCTCGCCGAGATGTGGAGATCATCTTTTTTGGCGCATATCTTGAAGGATGCCAACACCTGTGTGACGACCCCCTATTCATAAAGGCAATCATCGCGAACAAAACTATACATTGAGTGCCCATCAACAATGGAAGCTTGGCATACATCATCTTTCTATCGGCCTTTGATCAACTTGACATAGAGAGATTGAGGCTTGAACCTGTAAAATCCCACATTCTGGGCTTCTCGGGTGAGAGAGTCTTGCCAATCGGATCTATCCAGCTCATCCTCATCATGGGAAGACAAACCCTGTCAAGTGACAACCACTGTCCGTTTTCTAGGGGTGGATGGCCCCTCTGCCTACAACATCTTTCTTGGGAGACTACCTCTCAATTCCATCAAAGTAATACATTTGGCATACCATTTAGTGATGAAGTTCCCCACTGAGAATGGGGTCGGCATGGTTAGGAGGACCAACGCCTCGCCAGAGAATGCTATGTGCCATTAATGAGGCAGAAGGAGGTAGAGTTAGTCTGGCTGGAAAGATCTGGACATAAGAGATGAGTTGGAGGTGCGTCGCACCCCCACAGAGCAGCTGGAGCCCGTGCAGGTGGACAAAGACCCAGGGCACGTGGTCTTCATGGGCTCTATGTTGCTCCTAGTCATTAAGAAAAAACTTATCTCATTCTTGAAATAGAACGTTGACATTTTCACTTGAAAATAGAAGATATGGAAGGAATAGACCCCGCGGTGATCGTACACCGGCTTAGTGTTGATCTAAATAGCAAACCAGTGAGACAGAAGAGGAGAAACTTCACACCAGACAGACAAAAATCTATTAATGAGTAGGTGGCCAAGCTGTTATAGGCAAAAGCCATCAGGGATGTAGATTATCCTATCTGGTTGGCTAACGTCATGCTTGTAAAGAAAGTGAACCACAAGTGGCGATTATGCATCGAATTCACCGATTTGAATCGAGCATGCCCCAAGGACAGTTTTCCTCTACCCCGGATCGACTTGATAGTTGACACAACAGCCGGCCACGAGCTCTTAGCTTCATGGATGCCTTTTTAGGGTATAATTAGATCATAATGGATCCAAACAACCAGGAGAAAACTTCATTCATCACAGCGCAAGGGATATTCTGCGATCAGGTCATGTCTTTTGGGTTGAAG